TGTTCTTGCAAAAGACCTGGGTTGAATCCCAGCACCCACATGGCAGCTAACAACAGTCCAAAACCTCAGCTCCAGGGAATCCTATAGCCTCTTCTGTCCTCCAAGGGCATTGCACAGCAAACACATAAAAAAAAAAAAATTTAAACTTATATACATGCAGGCAATACCTGCATACACATAAAATTTAAAAATTTTTTTTTAAACTTGCCAGGTGTGGTGGCACATGCCTTTAATTCCAGCACTCCGGAGGCAGAGGCAGGAGATCAGATTCCCTGGAACTGGAGTTGTTAACTGCCATGTGGTTGCTGAGAATTGAACCTGGGTCGTCTGTAAGAGTAGCCAATGCTCTCAACCAGAGCCATCTCCCCAGCCTATATTTATATATTCTTTCACCTAATCTTCAAAGTAACTCTTTGGTTTAACTTGCTTAAATCAGATGGGAGCTTTGAAGCCATGTCTGATTACACTGTTCCAAAGGTATGGCCTATTTAATCTCTCTGTTATTGATTGTGAGTGTGTGGGTAAACAAGTGCCACAGTGCACACATGGAGATCAGAGCACAGCTTGTGGGAGTCAGTTCTCGCCTCCACCAGGTGAGTTCTGGGGATTGAACTCAGGTCCTCAGGCTTGGAAAGTACCTTTACTTGCTATCTTGCCAGTTCTCTACTTTTTTATTTTCTTTGAGACAGGATTTTACTGTGCAGCCCTGGCTAGCCTGGAACTCACTATATAGACCAGGTTAGCCTCAAACTCAGCAATTCACCTGCCTCTGCCTCCTGATTGCTGAGATTAAAGGCCTGTGCCACCATTCCCAAACTTTGATTGTTGGGAATCTTATTTTTTTTTAAAAAAAAAAAAATTCATGCCAGGCGTGGTGGTGCACTTGGGAGGCAGAGGCAGGCGGATCTCTGTGAGTTCAAGGCCAGCCTGGTCCACATAGTGAGTTCCAGGACAGCTGGAGCTACAGGGAGACCCTGTCTCAAAAAGACCAAAAAAAAAATTTCATTTATTATTTTTTATTTTTTGCATGTGAGTGTAATGTCTGTATGTAGGTAAATGCACCCATATCATGAAATGCCCTCAGAAGTCAGAAGAGGGCATCGGATTCCATGGAAATGGGGTTACAGATGGTTGCTAGCCACCATTAGGTGCTAGGAACTGAACCACCTGGGTCCTCTGCAAGAACAGCCAGTGCTTTTAACTGCTGAGCCATCCTTGAGTCCCGAGTTTTTATCTTCTTAATACCACATCCCAGGTGCTGAGATTACAGATATGTGTCATCACACCGGCCAGCCTGGACAATTTAATGAGACCCTGTCTCAAAATAAAAGGTAAAAGAGGATATAGCTCAGTGATAGAGCGCTTCCTTAGCATAAATGTATGAGGCCCTAGGTTCGATTCCCAGTACTAGGGGGTAGGGGAATGTGTGTGTGTATACGTATAGACAGATTAACAGACAGATCAAAGTTTGTTTCTTTGTTTAGGTTATGTTCATGGAGGAAGAAGCACTTATACAGGAGACATAATTCTTTATGCACTATTGTGGCCAGTCTGTAACAATGCTGAGCAGCACTCTGTGTAATAGACAAAATGCTTCATGTGGCCCCCTCAAAAAATTAATGGTTACACAGAGACTAAATTTAGAAAAAAAATGAAACTCTGGAGGCCAGAAATATTTTCAAAAGTTCATTAATTATTGCAATAATAAAGCTATATATAATTCCAACATAAAAGTCAACTTAAAATTTTGTCACCAAGCCAGGCAAGGTGGTGAATGTCTATAATGCCAACACTAGGGAGGTGGCGACAGGAAGATTTGGAGTTCAAGGTCACCCTGGAGCTCCAAGCTTGGATATGGGGCTCCAAGCCAGTCTGGACTACAAGGGATACACAAACACATAAACAAACACACACACACACACACACACACACACACTTAAGCAACCAATCAATCAATCACAAAACAACAACAACAAAACCCACCCCAAAATAGGTGTGGTGGTATACCCCAGGAATACCCCAGGAATCCCAGTACTTAGAGGGAGAAGGTCAAAAGTTCAAAGTCATCCTTGGCTACACAGAAAGGTGAGGCTAGCCTGGGCTACATAAACCCGTCTTAAAAACAAAGCAAAAAATAACAACAACAACAACAACAACAACAACAAACCCTACGCAATTGGAAAATGTGACAAATCAAGGATTTTAATAGAAGAATGAGAAACTAAGGTAAAAATAAAATCTAAGCCAATCGTGGTGGCGCATGCCTTTAATCTCAGCACTTGGGAGGCAGAAGCAGGTGGATTTCTGTGAGATTGAAGCCAATCCGGTCTACATATTGACTTCCAGGCCAGTTGGGGTTACAGGGAGACCCAGTCTCAAAAAGACCAAAATAAATAAATGAATAAATAAAATCTGTAGCTGGAAAATCACTAGTCATAACTGTTCAGTATACAAGTCTCAGCACATGATAAACTCCTATGATGTTCAAGGTATTTCATGAAATCTCTATTTTGTGTGTGTACACATGTATGCAAAGGTATGTGCATGTATGTGTAGAAGCCAGAGGTCAACATGGGGTGTTTTCCTCAATCACACTCCACTTTATTATTTTTAATGTATATTTGTGTTTTGCCTGCGTGTATATAAGTGGCATGTGCATGCAGTGCCCATGGAGGCCAGAAGAGGTGGTCAGATATCCTGAAACTGGAGTTCAGACAGTTAGCCACCATGTGGGTACTGGGAACTGAACCCAGATCCTCTGCAAGAGCAGCAAGTGCTCTTAACTGCTAAGTCATCTCTCCAGCCTTTCCACCTTATTTTTTGAGCCAGGGTCTTTCCCTGAGCCTAGACCTCACCAATCAGCTCAACTGGCTGGCCAGGGAGCACCAAGGATTTCTCTCACAGTGCTGGGATTACAGTGCATGTTGCTGTGTCCAGTTCATTGGCAAGGGCGCTGGGTCCCAATTCAGGTCCTCCATGCTTACACAGCAGGTACTTTATTGACTGACTGAGCCATCTCCTCAGCTCCAGAACATTTTAATAATAAATCTAACACTTGACAGAGCTGGGGATGTAGTTCAGTTGATAAAGTGCTTGCTTAGCATGCAAAAGGCCTTGGACTAGATTCCTGGCACCTCAGAAACCAAAACCCCAAACATAACACACTAGATTCCTATGAGGATTGAGATAAAGCATTAGAGCACACAAACTAGCTAAAAGGTGACACATTATTTCTGTTAGGAATATTACTATAGCCATTATAAGAGATAGAAACCAGACATGGTGGCACATGCCTTCAATCCCAGCACAGACAGATCTTTGTGAGTCCAGGCAGCCAGGGCTACATACTGAGACACTATCTCAAAAACAACCACAAAAACAATGATAAGAAACAGAATCAGTGCCAGGGCTGGAGATAGAGCTCAGTGCTAGAGCATCTGAGCTAGGCCCTAGGCTCAACCCCCAGTACAACAATATCACTACTGCCATTTTATAGATAAGGAAACTCAAGTTGAGGCAGAAAAAGTAGGTTAGCCAAGATTACATATTTTCTTAATTTTTGAGGCAGATTTTGCCATGTAGCTCTGACTGACCTAGAACTCATGAATATCAGACTGGCCTGGAACTCACTATAATTCTCCAGTCTCAGGCTCCTGAGTGTTGGGATTACAGGTGTATGCTCCCACACTTGGACTAAGATTACAACATTTAAAGGATGACTCAATGCATATGATTGTATAACATCAAAGCTTACTTTCTTAACCACTGCCTTACATAAACACTATACAAATATACACACATATAAATAAGGCTAAAGGGGATAACTATTTAAAAAAAAAAAAAAAAGCCAACATTACCTAGAAACTGCAGCACACTGCTGAAACCACTGTAAATCCAATCAAATATGAAGGACATGTCCAGATCTTATAGGGTCTGAAAAAAAAGTTTTAGATTTAGCAGTCAACATCATCACATTAAATACCAACAAATGTTATGCACCAACTGAGTAAGTAATCAATCCTACAACAACCTTAGACAAAGTGTTAACTGTTATCCAGGGCTGGTGAGATGACTCAGCAGGAAAAGGTGCTTGCCAAGTGTGATGACCTGAGTTCAATTCCTGGGACTCACATGGTAGAAAAGAGAACCTACTTCTGTAAGTTGTCCTCTGACCTCCATACACATATTTCCGTGTGCATGCATGCACACATGTATGTGCACACATACACATATGCACACACACGCAAATAAGGGTTTAAAAACAAGACAAAACAGTGAGAGAGTGCCTGGTTCTGGCCTCCCTCTGGCCTCTCTCTGACAGAGGGGCTGAGAACACAGGGAACCTGCCTCCACATGGTGGTGAGCTTCCCCTAATTGCGCCATACCCATCCCCCTACCTGGAATTTTGTGAGGTCCCTCCCAAGGCCCAGGGCAGATCTGGCTTTGGAAGGCGAAGGCTGAAATCCTAGCAGACAACCTGAGGCGGGGACTGCCTGAGAGCACCCAGATCCTGACTCCACATGGTGAAGGAAGCCTGAGTATACCTGACTGGAACCTGAATTGGGATTCTGTGTGTACTCCTGAATAGCTGATCTGAAGCCATTAGGTCCCTCCAAATTAAACATGAGAGAATCTGAACCCTGTACCAACCAGCTTTACATAACCAATAAAGAAAGGATCTAGGCACCCAGATAATACAGACGCATACTTCAACTTAATTCTCATATCAGAATCATAAACAACAAAAGAAATTCACATGACAAAACCACAACAAAAGAATTAATAAAATGGAAAGCCAAAACAATATGCCCCCACCGAGCTCCACCAATCCTATAGAAGAGTTCTAGAAGAAGAACCCCCTAGAGATAACCTAGGACACTGAATTTAAAAGAACAATCATATGGCTCAGTGGTTAAGAGCACTGACTCCTCTTGCAGAGGACCCAGGTTCAATTCCCAGCACCCACATGGCGGCTACGAAGCGTCCTTAACTCTGGTTCCAGAGGAATCTGAAGCCCTCTTCTGACCTCCGCGGCACTGCACAACACAGGTGCACTCACACACACGCAGGCAATATACTCATACACATAAAATAAAAATAATAAAATATTTTTTTAA